TAGGCCGCCCATCCCTTCAATAATTTAATTGTCATCTCCCAGATTCTGGGAGACACATGACCAGACCCAGCCAAGGTCTCTCCTCGCTCACTCCAGGGGGCGGTAAGATGAGAGATCCTGGGAATGAGGTTGAGGTTACAGTAAGAGTGAATGTATGGACTGTCTGCAAGGACCAAAAAAAGTGGCCATTCTACAGAGGTGGCTGTTCATGGAGATTAAACTGTAGTTTCAAGGTTTTGTTTAAAAAAAAATGAACTCAAATGTGAAATGTTTCCTTTCCTAGTGAACACAAAGCCCTCAAGCAGAATTCGTGTTTTAATTTGATGGTGTCTATCCAGTATGTAACAGTGGAAAATTTTTTAAATATTTTCACCCATTTGTAAATTAAATCTCTTATTAACCAGAGGTGCTCAGTGCGATACTAGAAGAGCATCAGCTTGATTTGGGCTGATATTTTCCCAATACAGTCCTCACACTTGGTTAATAAGATAATATAATATTTTAAGCATATGGCAAGGTACTCTTGAGGTTAATCCGAGCTTCCAATTGGTTCTTCATCAGTCATAAAATGAAAACAGTAAATTATTAATTTATTTATTCGTTTTACACAGGACCCATGTTGATGTGTTGATAGCAGTTTTTATAACTGAAATGGTCATATATTATTATTATTATTATTATTATTATTATTATTATCATCATCATCAATATTATTAGCAATGTATTTCTTGCTTTCAAAAGCCAGTCAATTCCATAAACAAACACAACCCTAGTGCCGTATGATTAACTACTTACTAACCGAGCTTGCTTGCCGAATATTGACCCTGGGTCGTTTTTGTACAGACCAAGCATAATGACATCTGCGCTGCTACAGTCTCAAGCCAATATTCTACCGTATGGCCCTTGCGCTCGTTTAGCAAGAGGTTAATCTTAACCAAAGAAGCTTGTTCAATAACCCGTTCGTGTTGTGACATATCTGCTTTCATGGTGCTTCCCTGCATTAGTGTAGTGTATAAATAGGTTCCTGTTTAGATATTTGGTATAATGTTATGGACACCGTCATCTGGCAAATGCAGTGGCCAGTAACAGATTAAACAACATTTGGTCATTCCATTTTATATGCAATCTAGAAGAAGTTCAGATTTTTTTTCTCGGGGGGCAACAATAGCATTAAGTTCCCAAAGTACGTTGCTTTGTGCAATTTTCTAGCAAAGATATCAGTGACATCACCTTTTGATATTAATATGCCAACCAGAGAACTATTGGCTGGTGAAACAAAGAGTTCTTTTTATAACGTTTTGGACATCCCTATCGATTTTGACAGGGAAGTTACAGCATCTATTTAACATCTATTTAACTGGGATAATATTACGTGCAATGAATTGTTTCCTCTAACTTTGAATCTATTTGATCGACCAATTTGTGCATTGTACTACATTACACAAGCGTTCCTACAAATAAATCATGCATATGTTATTGCTATACTCCAGCGTCAGCAGCGTGTGACATCAAACAAGTCCCGGAACGTGGAAACGTCTAAATTTAACACAACGGACATCTAATCAATAGAGCCCAGTTACGCATTCAAAAGCGTGATCAAAAGCACTTAGCAATTCTCATGCATCGATGTAGACAGCGTAAAGTAAGATTGCACTACAATATCTTGAGTAGTTTATAATTACCGTGCTTGACGAATTTTGGTGAAAGGAAACCAAAACGCAGAAGTGAAATATGTTTCAAGTTCAAGTTTATTTCACTTACTTGTGAGGCTTCATAGTAATATATGTGTTTGGTATCCATCCTTCGCGATCATCTTGCTCCGCTTTGTACCAGTTTTTGTCTTCATCTTTGTCTAAAACCTGAAGATGAATTGCGTTCACTTACAACACCTGAAAGCTACAAGAAGAGGGAAGTCACTTGCAAATATAATCTTCTGAAACTTACATTCAGAACACTGCCCTTTTCGAAGGAAAGTTCGTCAACCTGGGAAGCAGTAAACGAATGCTTGGCCACAGCCTCCATGGACAGATCGTGTTTTCTATATCCAAGAGAATAACTGTTCACCGCTGCAACAGAGTGACTCGGAACACTCAACACACCATGACAATAATTATTTGCTGTGTTTCTGTACAGGAAGTAAATTTTAGGCTTATGACAAATGTCTTGTGCCCAGGTCCTCGGAGGGAATTCAGTGAAGACGACAATTTCCTAAGATAGAAATGACCGGAAGTTGATGACTGAGTCGAGGCCCTTTTCCACCCAGTTGAGTCAGAAGGAAGGGTCCAACTTGTGGGTGGTGATTTCCTGATTTGTCCTTGTGTTACAAAACCTGATTGTCTCAATGAAAGAATTTATTCCTCTCGGGTTCAAATTAGCAACATTCCCTAGCTTTCCCCGCCAGGGAAGACAGGAAACTAGTTTTCAACAAGTTCTCGTGTTCTTCTTGTTTCGCCTTACAGACAAGCGGAAGGAAAGGAGGAACGACTTAGCTACAACATCGTGTTTATATTGTACACTCCCACTAACAAGTTCTCGTGTTCTTCTTGTTTCGCCTTACAGACAACGGGGAGGGAAGGGGATAGGGAGAAGGGTTTAGCTATAGAATCATGTTTATATTGTACACTCCCACTTCAACATTAATATACAAACCGAAATATTGGAAGCAAATGCCGAACTGTTCCCCGAATGGTCCTCCAAAGTAATTTGACTGACAAAGATTGAAATGGCTGCGTGATAGACAGTCAGGAGTCAATGAAATCGTGCAAGCCACGCCTAAACTGGGTAAATAAAGTTTCTAGCCCAGTAAAGCAACTTGCGATACTTCCCTTTGCACTTGAGTCGTGGAAAGGTGTCCAGATAGAACGAAGCCTCTGATTAGTCAATAGCACCGCCCATACTAAATTTCCGCCCTCCGGCCCTTTCTCGTTCCTCGGAGGAGAAGGAAAACGAAACCCTCGGAAGGAAGAGTCAGGCGGATGTTGAAATACTGTGGTGAAAACCTGTTTCCAGGCCACAGAAACAAAAATACTAGCAGTACACCACTTACAAAAAATTTTGGACAAAGTTTAATTTCGGACAAAAAAGTGTCCGAATAGAAGTTTGGGAGAACTCGAAAAAGCTGTGGAAACAGTCGCCTGTCGGCTCGTGTTCCCACAGCTTTTCTCGTTCTCCCAAACTTCTACGAGTGTTCCTTTTTACAATTAGATTATGAGCTCGAAATTTCCTAGGGGCCTATTAGAAACCAAAAAACCGCGCAAAAAAACGCCCAAAACGACAAAACGGCAATAAATTTCGTGCAAAACCGAAAACCGGAATAAAATCCCTCACTGACAAAGCTCTGGTAGAAGACGACACAAGTTCAGAGTTCACTGATCATGATGACTCTTCAAATGACTCTTCGACTCTTCGACATACGTCAAACAGTCATTTGAAGTGATGTTTGTGTCAGAGGAAGAACTCCAACAAGTAAACTAGGTATGAGGGAATCAATGGGAGGAGACTTTTTTCAAGGAGAGGGGCGGGGGTTGACCTTAATATTATCATTATGTGAGGGGGGGTTGAAATTATTTTTGCTTAATGAAAGGGGGGGCATGACTTAATTTTGGGGCATATTTCACCCATTTCCCAGCGCCCCTCCCTCCACCGCAGCCCCCCTTCCAGGTAATTATTGCACAATCGCTCATCACGTAAAAAAAAGTCGCTTGATGAAAAGTTCTGCATAAAAGAAGACTAACTATAGATTTTGAAACACGAAGACGACGCATTTGATTTTATGTGAAGCTTTTATGAAATAATTCATATTTGAACTGCGGTTGTAGATGAAAATAAAGAATGATCATCGC